GCTTTAAATAGCCAAAGTTTTATTTAAATTGTTTCGAAGAATAATATACTGTGCGACTGTAATTTAGTAGACTTTCTCCTGAACAGGTAAATTATTTATAAACATTTGCTCATACTTCGTCAGTCTTCTCTATTAAATATCTCTGTTATATAAAACATTTTGAAACCATCTATGAAACTATCGTCTACAAATGAATGAGAGGCCCTGCGAAATCTTCCCATTGCACGTATATTTGAGTAATTTCATATTCTTAACATGGTATTCAACATGCTAAGAATATATCAGTCGTAAATTTAGTAATGCGGCAGTTATATACCTTTCGGCGTTTCAAATAAATGAATGAATAAGAAATGCCCGGAAAGGGGGTGATCTGTTTCGTAGTAGAAAAAAATTCTTGTGCTTTCTTGTTTAGTCAATAATGTAAATGGTATCGTTTTAAATTTCTTGTGCTTTCTTGTTTAGTCATTTCACACAAAATGTTTATTAATTCAGAAACCTTTTTATTCTTTTGGGTGGAGGTGCTTATGATACAGTCTGAATTTTTTGTTTGAAAGAAAATTATAAATTTATATTTAATTCTAATAATCGTGCTTGATGAATATAAAACAAAATAACTTTAAATGGTAATTAATACATTAGAAAATATTAATTTGCATAAATTTGTTGCACTTTTTATAATCATAATATCGAATGTTTCAGTGTGATTACATTTCTGTGCACGACTATAAGTCTATTCTAGCAGTCTGCGCAAGAGAATCATTACTAGAAAAAATTGGCTGTTTATAACATGAAAAGCAAATTCACTCTTTTTTATTGATTAAAATGACACAATTTTAACAGAAAAATAGTTTTTTTTTTTTTCTGGGAGACACATACTTTTTAGTTGAGGAAATATATTTATTTATACATACCTATTTCATTTTCATCAAATTTTATTTGTGAAAAACTTAACGAAAATATAGTGCTGCCATCTAGTGATGTAGTATAATATTATTTGTAAGAGTCGGTTTACAACTATTAATAAATTGTTAGTGCTGCCATCTAGGGACTAGCTGTTCATATTAAACATAAATGATCCAATTTCTTCTTACGGAAAAATAAATATCAGACTTCGTCTTAAATAATAGAATAGCTTTTATTTAAATTATTAGGAGTTTTCAAATATATGTAGAGAGCTTTCTATAAAATAATACCAATTCAAACTTCTATTTTGTTTAATTTTAGAGCCCTAATGGGCATACTACTCTTCTGTCTGTTGCTGTATGATTATTCAGAAAATCGTAATCTATGAAATAAAGATTATGTTAATTAAAAATTCGGGCTGATTTCTAAATATTCGCTTCATAATACCCAGAAATTTCTCTTATATAAAACTGGCAACGATGGCTTTTAAATCAGCCTTCGTCTGGCTTCAGCTATTTTTCAGCCAGCCTTCGTCTGGCTGAAGGAAACACCAAACCTTAAATTTAAAAGCTGCGTAGAATGTTACTCTGCAGAACAACTTCATAAAAAAAAGTTATTACGTATAACAAAATTACAGTGAAATAAGCAATATCTCTTAATACAAATATTAATTATCCTAATAAATAAATTAACCAACTTCCCTTTGCAAAATTTTAAGAACTCAAATGGTATAAAGGAGGTTAAGAACTTTGTTTCCTAAAAAATCACTCAAAACTTTTCAATATCTTAAAAACAGTGAAATAAGCAATAAATAGCATAAAAGAATACAAAAAACAAAAAACTCTGAAAAGCAAAGTATAATTAATGATATTTTATCTTATATTTTCAAGAGAAATTACAATGAAATAAGCTATGTACTTAATACAAATATTAATTATCCTAATAAAAAAATTAATCAACTTTCCGTTGAAGAAAAAAAATCATGCAAAACTTTTCAATATCTTTCAAAAAATAACGTGAAAGCAACTCAAAACACATAAATTCCGCGCATAACAACTTTATAAAAAAAATCAATAAAAATGTATTATATATATATATATAAATGACAATGAAATATGCCAATCTCTTAAAAAAACAGTGACATAAGAAATACGATGAAAAATTGTTGCCAAACCCATATTTCTAAAAGAATGAAACTATTCAAAATGATGCTATTTCATAATCAAAAATCTATCAACAACAATAAGACAGGAAAATTGTTGGCAAAATCATATTTTTAAAGATGTGAGAAGTGTACTCGGAAGCTTCATTTAAAATTAAAAAAAAAAAAAAAAATACAAATATTATCATTTTTCTAAAATTCTTTTTGTAAAGCAGTCGCAAGGATGAAAGTTTAACGTGTCCAAAAATCAAATGAAAAATAAACTGTACATTTTTAAAAATGAACTTTTTTAGAAAAAATCCCGCTGAAAAGGTGTTAATGCTCCCTTTGTTAAATAAATTTCGTATTTAATCGATTTATTGAAACACGAAACTTTATTTTAAGCTCGTAAAAAATTTCATGACGTAAATAAGTTTTCATGACGTAAATAGTTCGTAAAATAAGTTTCATGACGGATGTGAAAATGGAGTGTGTAGAGTAAATCTCGCTTTCCTATAAGCCCATTTGTCTCAAAATGACGCGATTTCGTCACAAAACATAAAATAAAAAATTCTAATTCGAATTTCGAAAAAAAATCGCTTCGAGGTGCACTGGCTCTTGTCTAGATGCAGCTTATGTACCAAATTTCGTAGTTGTGGGTCTATTAAGCTTACGCGTGATCGCGAAAGAAGAGGCACACAGACAGACTCTTTCTTTATATCTTTCTTTTATATTTTTCTTTTATTGTAGAGATAAATAACTCATATGTGTTAATTTCAGAATATATAATTAGTATTTAAATTTCATTACATCTGCTTAAATAAAACGAATGTTGTGAACCAGTTTTACGTTGCATTAAAGTAACTCTTATTTCAACATAAAATTCTTTTTTTTTTTTTTTTTTTTTTTTTTTTTTTTTTTTTTTTCCATTTGGCCTTTTCTGTTCAGCTCTTATTACAATACTGTTTCCTTCCATTTGACCTCCTGTTTGCCTTTCCCTTCCCCTTATAAAGTTTAATTTACTTGCACGGAACATCTCGACACGACAAATAAAGCAGTTTTTGCGAAAGATTCAACAACATGTATTTTATTTAAAAATACAAAATACAAATATAATTGAGATTTTTTTAGCAGTAAATATACATATTTTAGCTTATATTCAAATAAAAAGAATTTAATTAGGTGCATAAATTAGTTTACAAGAGTTAATATAGCTGTATGAAATTTTTTGAACAATATGTTTGTTCGGTACACATTTCTAAAAACCTTTTGAGTTTTATCACCTTAAAATTGCGTTCTTGAAAAACTTGGAAAATTCCAAAAATTTTAAGAACACTTTTTTCATTATTTTCAAAATTTTTCCATTCAGATCTATAATATTACGTATTTTTAAAGAAACAAGTTAGTTGTACAACTTGGGAAAGTTTAAATACTCTACCTTAAATAGATTTTTAGAAAAATGTAGCAAAGCATTTAAAAAAGAAAAAAAAAAAAAAAAAAAAAAAAGAAAAAAAAATTCTCAAAATGTGTGCCTTTTTAATTTTTTTTTTTCAGTGAATGTTTCATATTATGGCCGGGTTCAAGTCCCAAATATTTTAGAACGTTTGTGCGATTGTAAGCCCCATCGTTAAAACATATTACAACATCTACACCTGTTATCAAAGTATTTATTGAGACAAAAACAGTTTTAAGTGAGCTTTCCCCTTATAAACAAAGATTAAAACCCTCATTTGGATTCTGAGTTCTACCATGTGCGCATTTGCACAAACGTTTTTTGTCAGAAAAACGGAGAAATGTAACGGAAAAATGTAGTTTGACTACTCTAGAAAGAAGGGGAATAAGCCATAGCGTACTATAAAAAGAGGATTTACTCTTTTCAGTGTGCAAGAATGCTGAAAAACTTATGTTCTTTTCGCAAGAGGTGGGTGGGAGGCAGTGTTTGTTTGCATTTTTAAATACCGTATTTTAGAACCTTATATATTCCAAACCTGTACAAATTATATATTTATAGAATCATCTGAATTTGCTCTATTTTCTAAGACTCTAATACGAAATTTTGAACCATTTTATGTTCCATGTGCCCTTAAATTAACAAAAGCTGTAGCATTTATGTAGTGTTGTTTTGATTTTGCTTCAAAAGACGTATTTATATATCAAATATAATGAGTCCTATCATGATGACCAGCTCTGAAGATGATCAATATTCCTGAGAATGCAACAGATTGCTTATTTAATAAAGTATTTATTCAGAGAATATGTAGAAGTGTTCTGTAATATGAAATTTATTATACACTATAAATTTATTCTATTAGGAAAAAAAATAAAAAAATAAAATAAATAAATAAAAATAAATAAATAAATAAATAAAAAAATTAAAAAATAAAAAAAAATTCCGATGTTAAAATCAAAATCTAGCTCATTTGCATATTTTTTAAGAATATTTTAAATATGCTTAAATCTTTTTAAATTTATTTACTTTTATTTTAAGAATTTCATTTGACAAGCAGTCAACTTTGTATTGGTTGCCAGATGTTGGGTTGGAGTTACTAGTCTTGATATAACTTATTATTGTAAAGTTAATCAAATTCTTCAGTTGTTTTAAAAAATATATTTTGAGGTGTTTAATGTAAAATATTGCAGCGTCCAAAATAAGTGTTGGAATAAACAAAAACAAAAAGCACAATTTATTGAATATAGATTAGGAAAATGGAATATCAGTTTTCAGAAATTTTTCTTTTATTATTTATTCCTAAAAATTTAATTGTACATCTGTCTCAATACTGTTGATCATACAAGAAGCCGATAAAATTTGGCAGTCGAAATGCAGAGAAGTGAATTAAGCCTTTCCTGGTTAAGTTGTCAACGTTTCTTTCCATTTGGGAATGTTCAGATTTTAAATACTCTTATTGAAACATTTAATTGTTCTTATAATACTTTTTCTTTCTTTACATTACAGAAAAACTTCTGAACTCCACTGGTCGAGAGCTGAGAAGAGCACTGTTTTCTTTGAAACAAATATTTCAGGTAAATATCTGATGTTATACATGTCAGAAATGTAACCTTACTGAAAATTTCTGCATAAACTTAGTTTTATTGAAAATTTATATGCTGATTAAAAATTTTTACATTCTTTAGGATGATAAAGATCTTGTACATGAGTTTGTCCAAAATGATGGTTTGGCTTGTCTCATCAAAGTTGGATCAGAAGCTGATCAGAATTACCAAAATTACATTTTAAGAGGTAAGCATAAATCTTGAAATGTTGATAATAATGATAGCAAAATGTTACAACAATAATTAACAGTTTTAAACTCATGTATATAAAATGAAACCTGATTCACAGGACTTTTTTGGGGGGGGGATAATTTTAGCAGAAATTATATTGAGAGATGCAGTAACTCAATTTTTTCTTTGTGAATGTAGGATATTCATTTATTTTATTGTTTTAAAATGCAGGTGAATAAGTGCAAGTTAAATTGTAAGACATACACTTGAGTTGCATTTTATTGATATTTTACGTTAAATAGTTGAAAAAGTATGAATAATATACAGTGAAACTTCCTAAGATCACTACTTCCTATACATGACTATTTCTGAATTGTAATAGCACTTTTTATGACATAAATATCACTACTGAACATCTTCTGTGTAAGACAGCTAGAAGACTGGATTTGTTTAAAATTGGGGATGGTCATCTTAAAGAAGTTTCACTGTAACATTCACTGTTATTTTTATGTTTGTAATATAATGTGTGATTAACACTATACTGCTGTTTTTATAAACAGTATTAACAGAGTTTTTATAATTTAGCTTTAGGCCAAGTCATGCTGTACGTAGATGGCATGAATGGCGTTATTGAACATATTGAAACTATACAATGGTTATATTCTCTAATATCATCTAAGGTGAGTTTTTTCGTCCCCTATTGTTGTTATTGTCAAAGAAATATTAATTCAGATAAATTACAAATAGTTTTCATTATTTTATATATATTTGCTAATTTGTTCTTAAATTTTTAGTATCGTCTGGTTGTGAAAACAGCTTTGAAGTTGCTTTTGGTTTTTGTGGAATATTCAGAGTCAAACAGCCAGTTGCTTATGAATACTGTATGTGCTGTAGATTCTGATAAAGGTATTTTGTTATTTTACTATTTTCAATAAATTGTCCATATTTTCATTTTTTAATTAGGGTTAACTTCAGTGGCTTTTCTGGACACATAAAAATGTATATAAACTACCCATGTAATGCCACACTTAAAATTTAGCTTACATGCTTACATAGTTTCATAAGTAAGTATTTCTCCTTGAAAAGATCATAAATGAATGTATTAATAGTTATGATAATACAGATGATTGTAATATACAGACTGCATATTAATGTAGCTATTTAACATTTTGCTTTACCAATCATTGTGAAAACAGGGAATTAAAAATTTATTCAAATAGCTCACCGTTTATGTTAAAGGAAACTGATTTCATTAAGAAACTAACATTAAAATACACTAAACTTTAGAGTAACTTTTAAAACTTTTAGAGTCCTTAAAGTTATGGTTTTGTCTGACTATATTATAATCCATTTCAAAGCCTGCCTTTTATTTATGCAGTAATTTATTGCCATTTGTGCATGGCACACATATATGATGTAAACATATTCTCATATACATACACATATAAAAAATAAATAAACTTTATAGCTAATATATGTAATAATAAATTAGTTAATGAGGATTCAAAAAGAATACAGTCAAAAGTCGTTAATCCGGACTCGTCGGGACTTCGGCGATTCCGGATTATAGATCATCAGTTTAAATTTGGTAAAATGGCATGCAGAAATTATAAAATTAAAAATATGAAACCGTAATTTACGAAATAAAGAGCAATTATGATCTAAAGGGTATCAAAATTTACAAAAAAAAAAAAAAAAAAAAAAGCTTAATATTTATTTGTTTACTTTATTAAACATTTCTTTCAATGTAAGTTGTTTAAGTTGCTTCGTTTTTTATGTGATAATAGATTCTCTTTAATTCCATAAATAGACATAATTTCTTGTTCAGTCAAAGTTCCGCTGTTCAAGTCCTATAATTGCTGTGTCGAGAATACCGACTAATTTGTAAATCAAAATTTTTTTCGTTTTCAATAACCTCTGTCACTTTCTTCGCTATCGGAAGCGAAATATAATGACGAGGCATTTGATTTAAATCATATCAAAGACGGAGTACATCAAGAGGAAATACCACATTTAGTAAGCAATTATAAGCCAAATAAAATAAAAACATCTGCCCTTAAGATAAGGATAGTGTTGACAAATCAACTCCAATTCATTGCGCTCCTCCACGGTGTTAAAGATAAACAAAGTTTAGATAAACAAATGTTAAAGTTTAGATAAACAAAGGATATGCCTTTATCCGTTTTTTTGCAGCAATTCCACTTTTTGTTTAATGGATTCCGAAAGATACTTTCGCTTTGTATATCCTTTACATATTAGTAAATATATATCGGAAATTCTATTTGAAATAATCGAAAGTTCAAGCTTACTTTTATAAAATTGCTCTAACAGTCTGCAAAAAATAATAAGCCGGATCCAATTCGAAGATTAAGGAACAACGCAATCTGCAACATTAACTGAAATAGATAATTAGATAATTTTAGCTTAGCTTATCCCGTCCGTTATACATTAAACGCGCATTCGTAAACATATTTTGCGCACGCGCACACGCAAATTCGCAGCCGTAAAGGTCTTACGCGACGCATGCGCAGAAAGTTTGTAGCTTTGAGGTCCGGATTATGGGTGTCCGAATTAACGAATTTTGACTGTATTGCTTTTTTTCTTTAAATTGCTGCAGATATGCATCTATAAATTAATTTTTGGATTTTCTACCTTACTATAACAAAGAAAACACTGATTTTTTTTTTTTTTTTTTTTTGTGTGTGTGTGTGTGTTATTCATTATTTTGTATGTTCTAAACAATATTTTACAAAAAAGAAGTACTTTTGTAAATTGAGTGTTTTACAAAATCTAAATTACTAACTGATATATTTGCATTAATTCTTATTCTAGGCACAACTCCTTGGTCAAATATTATGAATTTGTTAAAAGAAAAAGATTCTGCTGATATGGAATTACTAGTCTATGCAGTCACCCTCATTAATAAGGTAATTGTTTTGTTTCATGCAATTTAAGCTGAAGTTTTCAGAGGCTTTTTTTTTTTTTTTTTTTTTTCAGACTGTTCAGTTTCTTTTTGTCAGATATAACTAGAGAGGTAGATAACTAGCTACATAATTCAGATAAAAAAAAAACTGAATAATTTGTGAATTGAAGATGCAACCATAGAAGTAGCATATTAATAATCCCTAGCAATGCTTTATATACATATATATAGAGAGAAATACCATATAAAATAATGAAGTACAAATACATGACCAAGTAAAAAGACAATACAATGTGAATACAACTAGAGATAATAGATTCCTAAGTGTTTTCCAGTTATAAATAATTGTATAGCCATCATGGTAAATAAGCAAAAAGGTCTGAAATCTAGTATTGGTAAGATCTTAATTTAGTCCTTAAAAGAAGATTAATGAACATTAGAAATTAATTAGATTAATGAACTTAGGAGAGAAGTTAAATAAGAATTTATGAAATTGGTTAAATAATAGAGTAGAGTCTGAAACTGTATTATTGTTGGGTAGCTCTAATTGAAAAAATACTTTACGATTTTACACTTCACGATTTTATAATCAGCGTTCATAATATCATTAATGTTTAATGATACATATTTTAATAGTTTTCTGAAGAAAAAATGCCCAAATATTTTCTTTATAATTTTGAACAGCTTAATATTTCTGCAGTTCAGTTATACTATTTTTTGAAAAAATGTCATTGCTTTTAAAATTTGTATGTGATACAGTACTCTTTTCCTTAAACCATGTGATTGTACTTTGTTTTTACTATGTATTATTTAATGTGAGGTATAGCTTTTGGAGTTTTATGGACCTATTTATTCCTTCCCATTTGGGAAGAGGGAGAAAGAGCTCATCTCTGTGAGTAACTCATCTCATATTACTGACCAGCAAGTATGTCTCCTTATGATCAATATATACAGTACAAAGTCTTTAATCCGGACTCGTCGGGACTTCGGCGATTCCGGAATAGAGGTTTTTCCGGATTATATATCATCAGTTTAAATCTGGTAAGATGGCATGCAGAAATTATAAAATTAAAAATATGAAACCGTAATTTATGAAATAAAGAGCAATTATGATCTAAAGGGTATCAACATTTACAAAAAAAAAAAAAAAAAAAAAAAAAAAAGCTTAATATTTATTTGTTTACTTTATTAAACATTTCTTTCAATGCAAGTTGTTTAAGTTGCTTCATTTTATGTGCTAATACTTTCTCTTTAATTCTATAAACAGACCTAATTTCTTGTTCAGTTACAAAGTTCAGCTGTTCAAGTCCTGTAATTGCTGTGTCGAAAATACCGACTAACTTGTCAATCGAAATTTTTTCGTTTTCACTAACCTCTCTGTCACTTTCTTCATGCCTTTATTCATTTTCTGCAGCAATGCCACTTTTTGTTTGATGGACATTGAAACATGCTTTCACTTTGTAGATCCTTTGGCAGCTCCAGAATCGGAAACTCTTTTCGACATCAAGACATTTTTCAAGTTCAAGTTTACTTTTTATAAAATTGCTCTAATAGTCTGCAAAAAATAATAAGCCGGATCCAATTAGAAGATAAAGGAACAACGCAATCTGCAGCATTAACTGAAGTAGATAATTAAATAATTTTAGCTTTTACCATCCGTTATACATTAAACGCACATGCGTAAACGTATTATGCGCATGCATAAAGGTATTATGGTAAAGGTAGCTTTGAGGCTCGGATTATAGATCATTCCATATTATGGACGTCTGGACTTTGTACTGTACTTTTGATATGCAGAGACTGGAAAATGGAGGTAGCTTGTAGAAACTTTAAGCATCAATGATCTTTAATGCCCGTAAGTATTTCATTTGATGCTATTATTCATGAACATACTCACAGTTGATAAATTTTCTTGGGCTGTAAACCGATGACCATCTGCTAAATAACTTCTAAATATTCTTCATTCAAAGCTATTCAGAACTCTTTCTTCACTTGGTACTTAAAATTTTCATTTTTTAAAATTTTAGACACTGAATGGCATTCCTGATCAAGACACTTATTATGATATAGTGGATAACCTGGAAGAACAAGGAATGGAAAATGTAATACAGTATTACATGTCAAAACAAGGCACTGATCTTGATCTTCTGCAACAGTTTCAAATTTATGAGGTATGTTATTATTAAACAAACTTTATTCTTTTTGTCAAAAACATAAATGAAAGGGGGAAAAAAGCACATAGCACATTTGATGCTATGCAGTATTCAAAAGATTATTTTGTAAATGAGTGCATACTATATGGAATTAGGGGGTGTCTTTTTTATTAATGACAATAATGATATAAATGTTAATAAAATTTAAGTTAAATATATAGTGAATTACATCACTGAAATAGTGTAAAAAAAAAGAAAAATAATAAAAAACATTAAAATGCAAATATATTATTTTTAAGCATCTTAGTTTCTTACACTAAGGGCAGTTAAGCTTGATATATTTGAAAGATAAGTTAAAAATATTCTGCTGCAAAGTTGGCAGCAATTCTTAAAATTGGAAATTTTCTATTCCATTTGAGTGATTAATGTTGTTGTGGAAATTAATGCAAAAAAATGGAAATGTGATCTAAAAAGAGAATACTAGGATATGTATTTCCAATAATGGAAAAATTGAACTTTAATTTTGTGCTTTGTCACGCAGTTTTGTAACTAACATGATGTAAAAAATGGCAAGACTAGACTATAGATGTTTTTAATGCAGGAAAAATAATGCATTAAATAATATAATTCTATTTTAATCCAATTTAAATCATGAAGAGGCTAGTGTAAAGTTATTAATGATGGTCAGGTTTTCTTAACCCAAAACTGGAACATGAATTGTGCAATTTAGCTACTTTCCACATGGGTTAAATTTCTGTCTAAGATATTTATTGTAATTAAAGATATTTCAGATATTTGAACCTACATAAAAATAATAATTTGATCAAAACAATGAAATCTTTCATAGAATTTGATATTGTAGTTTAATTTGTAATATAGCATTTGTAATTTGTTGTAATGTTGTCTTAAATTACGAAAACTTAAAATAACTGAAGTTCTGCTTAAAAATGGCAGTTAATAAAATATGTATATGTAAATTTAAAATTTTAAATATTTCGTAGCTTATTTATATTAATTGCAAGGCTTTCAATTTTAAAGAGAATTTGGCTCATGTTTATGTTATGCATGAGACAAACCTAAAAATCTCATATAAAACCTCTTTTGTTTCATAAAAGTTTAAGTTACTTATAACTTCCAGTTATATTGTTGTGTAGCTATGTTTGTTTTAAACTCTGTTGTCATGAAAATAATGTAATTATTAAGATTAAATATTGAATATTTAAATTGCATATTAATTGCAAAATAGATGAGTTGTAAAATAATTACATAAAATTTGTAAACAATTGAAGAGCATTAAAAAGTATCCTACAGGGGACTTTCATGAAACAGTGTCTTATGATTAAATGATTTGCATATAAAAAATAAACAATTAGAGAAAGCAGCAATACATAGCCAATCTCTTGAAACTACCTAAATTAAAAGGATATTATAATAAATATGAGTATCTTTTGTAAATAAATTCAATAAACATATTGAAGTAATGATATCGTTATAAAAATGCAAATTAATTTATGAATCTTTATAAGTAAATAAATAACATAGTCTTTATAAATACAATAATAAAAAGTAATAAATGCAAATTTCATTAACATTAAAATCTTTAAATATGCAAAATTTCAGTCTTCTTCTTTTATATATATTTAATATTTTTTAGTTGTGGCTTTCAAACTTGATTTTACTTTTAGGCTGTTTTGAAACATGAAGATGGTGTGCCAGACACAAAGCCATTACCCCTAGATGCTAGGTTCAGGTAAACTTATCATTTTTAATTTCAAAGTTATATTGCTTATTCCTTTAAAGAAATTTTTCTTTTACATTTGAATAATTTCTGGTATAAAAGTAATAAAAATATACTATAGTAGTATTAAAATGAGTTTACAGTATTTAGTTGCTGAAGCATTGTTCTATACAATGGAAGAAATTAACTTAGTGGTACATTTTAATTTCATGCAATAAATAAAGTGCTTATACTACTTAATTTATTTAAAAAGGAACATAATGAATAATAATAATTTTAATTCCCATTTGGACTATGTTCACATTCATGTTATAAGTACCATTTGCTTAATGTAATTTTTAATAATTTTAAATAATATTCTCAGGTATATTAAAATGTTTTATTAATCCGATCTGTAGACAAGTTCCCCGCAGAAAGTCCCAATGTGATGAAAGTGATCGAAGGAAAAGTCGCAGACATTCTGTAGGAACAATTAACAGTACTACAAAACCAAATAAATTTCATAGCCGCTCATTAGAAAATACACCTGAAGAGTCTCCATTTACTTGGCAAGACAGGTATTCATTTATTTTTGTGCCACTTATGCCTGAAATTATTTTGCTGATGATAGCTTTTATTTTGATAACATTTAAAATTTTATTTTTATTTATCTACATTATCTGTAAAAATAATTTTATTAATTTTTTTGTTATTTTATTCCTGCCCGTAATTCAAGCAAAAGCTTTTAGTTTGCCTTGAGTGAAAATGATTTGATTTTTGTTTAACTACACACACATACAGATTTGATTGAAATGTATTGCCTGTTAAAAGTACCTACTTGTGAAATGAGGCTAGTTTTGTGAATATTTTATGCTTATTGAGTTAAATAAGGAAGTTGTGAAGCTTTTATGTGTAATAATTAAATGGGTACTTACATATTATCTTGTCGTCCATGAAAATTGGTGGAGATCTCACCAAAGTTGCACTAATCGTTCCCGCAGAACTCTGAGTGAACTGATGCTTCTTTAATTAGCAATCAGCATTTGACACATTTCATTTTTGCTCTCCATGCAAAGGTTTTCATGGATTTCTGTAGTTATTGTTGATTTGTTTGCCTGTACAATTTTAACAGAAGCTCTTTTTAAAATGCTATAAGTTTCCTATGCTGTTTTGTGGGCAGTATTTTATTGATCATGTCGTGTCTGTTAATACACATATTTTTAATTGTAAAACACCACAACATTGAAAATATCCTTAGCTTGCTATTCTTTTAGAAACCAAGTCCAAAATGTGAGGGCTTCAGCTACATGTCCTTGAGAATTTTTGAGAATTAGGAGAACTTTAGAGCTCTTTTCTTATTCTAAGCAATGTCTGACCTCTTTAATAAATGAATTTTCAAATCAGACATTAAAGGCTGTGTTCAGACAGGGACATAAAGGGCATAAGTGGTTAAAGCCGAACTGTGTTGCCAAGGCAACCAGTCTGTGCTATGTCACATAATCTGGTTTAAGGCTCGTGGCACAAGATTCCAAGTTTTCAACTTTACGCCGAGTTTGGGATAAGCATCGACCAATCAGAGCGAAGCTAAAACAAAGCGGCTTTCTTTAGACGATTTTCCTTTCACATCGAAGGCGACATTTTTTTAAATATGGAGTACATCGTACCCAAATGAGTTGTAATCGTATTCGAACGAAATAATGAGTTGATCTCTTGAGAAATCTACGATGATGACATGCATTTTTTAAAGAGTTTTCACAATAAATTGAAAAATATGGATGAAACTCGTAAAGCAAAAGTTAAGGATCATGCAGGCTGTGTATGATCCTGTTGATGATTGATCCCATTCATTATTTTTCATTTCATTATAAAAATTCTTTGAAAAATTCATGCTTTCAAAAATTTTATTTTTTCTGTGTAAATTCTTATTATTACTTTCTTTCTGTTTATTATTTTTGTATAAATTATTACTATCATTTTCTCCCTGTTTAATTATTTTTGTATTTAAGAATAAATTTAATTGAAAAAGCTGGAAATATTGTATTGCTATTTGCTTCAAATGTTGATTTTCTTTCCAAACAAACTTCATGAATTAATTTTACTAAAACATCAAATCAATATCAAGAATCTGCTGGGATTTTTTTAGTAAAAATATTACTTTTAAAAAAAGAAAAAAAATTTTTCACTTATTTAAGAATAGTCACAATAGTCAATTCAATGGTGTAAGCTTTGTATAAGTAATAAAAGGTTAATCTTTTGAGAAAATGCTCTTATGAAATCCAAGAAGGAAAAATGTAGTGAAATATCCTTAAAACAACAGCCTAGACAGTTTTGTCTCCTGTTGATGTTCTGTTCTGTTTTTTAATTACGTTCTCCATGAAAGGAATTTACTTTTAATGAAACTGAATAGCACACATAATTCATAACATAGGCTATAATTTAATGAATAGTATTTGTTATTATTATCCACTCTTTATTACTATCATTTGAATGGAATTTGATCATTAAATTCATGCTATTTCTCTGGTAGAAATTCCTGGATAAGGTATGAATGTTTATAATTTTGTTGTGTTTGAAGACTTGGGTACCTAAAATTTGTCAATGTGAAATTACTTTGAGATATTGGTCGTAAATAGAAATGACAGCATATGTTGAAATTAAACTCTTTTTTGTGCTTTAATATGCATGTCTGCCAGTGAGTGAAGAATTGTCATAATCTATCAGCAAATGAAAAAATCATTAAAAGTAATTACTTCTGACAACAGAAGTGGATGAATGACATTTCACAGCAGAGCAGAGTTTAATTTGAATGAATCATATGATTTAAACATACCAGTTTGCAGAATTATCCACAAAAATTTGTGAAAGTTAGTGTTTACTATGTACTGTAGTCTCTCAAGTGTAAACTCCTTTTTTTTTTTTCAGAAAAAGCATATGAAATTCAAGGGTGCGACTTATATATGCAAATTATTAGAAATAGATGTATACAAACAGCTGGCAGCACAGTGAAATGTATTTAATGATTGAGTATAAAATACATTGTTGTGTGAACATTTGATAGTATTGTACTAGTTGTAGTTGCTGGTCATGGTGACTAGTTGTGGGATACTAGTACTAGTGATAATTGATACTGGTAGTACAGCCAACTACTGTAGTGATTGACAGTGATACTGAATAAGGAGTACTAAGCACAGAAACATGTTCCTTTTGATTGAAAATTAGAAAAAAAAATAATGTATGGTAAATACTGTTTTCTGCTTAACTGCTTTCACACCTGCAAAATGGAAAAATATTATATACAGGCTATCTGTCATTTATCTTCAAGATTTTTTTTAATTAGGCATATTTAGAATATTGTATTTCTCCTAAGAGAAATTATATATAAAAACTTGAAGAATGTTTATATATATAAATATGCATGTGCATGTTTACAGTGCAATGTAAAAATATTTGATACTTCTTTTTACAGAAATATGTGCCAACTTTGTATTGGTCTTTCCAAAAAAATATCTCTAGAGCATTCTGTTCTTTTTCTTTTTTTTACCTTCTTCCGTTGCCTCTTGGCTTATAAGAAGGGCAGATAAGAGCATTCTGTTGAACCAGTAAAACATTGTGGTGAGCTGAAAAAGCCATGACACAAAATAACGAAAACAAGCAGAGTGAGCGCAGGAAATCAATCGAGCTAGAAAACTGCGCGCGAAAGGTGTAGACTCATCAACGCATGCACAAATTTAGCTTCTCCCATTGGCCACACCTTACACCCCGTCTTGCAGGTGTGAACGGAACTCCCGTATTTTATACCCTTATGACTATCTATGCTCTTTATCCTGCCGTCTGAACGCAGCTAAAGAGGACTTTCAAAAGACAGCAGACACTCTGCATTGTACCACATATAATTGAAATTCTTGTGTTGGATAAATTAAATAGAGACAGTTAAGATGATGTGTATACTCAAAATTGCATTCTGGAAATCTGCATTTGGCAAGTGTTTACTGTATTTTATTTTTAAAAGATTAATGAATTGAGCTTATGCAAAATTAAAGTAAGAATATAAAATATTTATGTGTCTATGAAAAGCATATACTTATTTTATGCCTGTATTTAAAAGAAAGTCTAAAAAATTTCTGTAATTTTTATCATGGAAAAATACCCAAAATACTGCTTTAACTTCCATTAATAGATTAATATTTTTATAGGAATCAAAATCATATTGGTGATACAGGAAAGAAAGCAAACAAGCAGCTTAATGGGCATGTTAATGGAAATGGCATTAATGAATCTTGTAAGTATTCTTTGTGTTTGTTACTTAACTATTCCTAATGCAGTTTTTATTTTAATTATAAATAATTTATAAAATTTATTTTCGTCAAAAAGTAATGTGTTTACAAAAATAAATTCATGAGTCAATATTTATATTAAGCAATGCATTAGTAAATTTGAATTTTCTTTGCCATTTTGCAGTTTTTATTAAGTAAATACATTTAGTAAGTTTTTAATGAAAAACTTTACCTTAATTTTGCTTTATATAATTTTCATCACAGAAATGAGTTGTAAATGCTAATTAAGATAAACTTTATCCAAATTTTAAATATAAATGTATTTGATAAAAGTCCATCTGATACTAAACAGGAATTACATTTTTCATCAAATGTACTCAAACCGAGTACTGTAAAAAATTGTAATTGTAAAATATTTTACTGCATTTGAAATAATGTTAGACTATTAGTAAAGGCTTTCTCACTCTGAGAATAAAGCAAATACAGTATTATGTATACTTTTAGATTAACCAATGTAATATGTTTTCAAAAATTTAACTTGTTTCTAATTAGTCAATAATGTATGGAAGAAACTTTTTGAATTAGTATATTTTGATGCCATTATAATTACATATTAAACACAGTAATGTATTTTTGATTTTTAAAAAGTATTAACCAAATTTAGAAAATTTTTGAAGAAGCTGAAATTTAGACAGAAATAAAAAAATAATGAAAAATTAATCATTAAATGAAGTTTTAATTTATAATATTTATCATTATTTTTAATATATAAACAGGCCATGATATCAATGGTATGACTCCAGCATTGAGGAAAAGACGAGAACGGGATGCTCGCAATAAATCCTTAATAAAGGAGCAAGAAGAAAATAGCAGGGGGGCAAATTACCAACGATCTGATAGTCTATCCTCATCTAGCAGTGTGTTTTCTGACAGCAATGAAACCTCTCCTCTAGTCACAGAAGATAAATCTTGTGAGTATTATAGGAATTATAAACAAAATATAAAGAGCAAATAATTTGGCTATTTTAGATTTCTCTTGCAAATTATGAATTTATCTTTTTGATTTCACAAACTATTTTATGAAAAAATTCAGCTGTGCTTTCAAGAAATTAAAGTGTTATACCATTTCATATCTTAAGAAAATCTACCTGTTTTTTTTTATTTTATTTTTATTTTAAATTTCTAGCTCTCTATTATTTTAACTACATTTGTAATGTGTAAAAATGGATATTAGATAACATTTGTTTTATATAAAACTTTCTAACAGTTTTATGGGAAGGAAGGATATATTTAATATGACATAAAGTATATTTAATGAATGAATTTGATGCAAATTATTACATTCTATGAGTATGAAAGTTTGACCTGGAAACAATATCATAATCTAACATTAGATATTTAAGTGAAATGTATCAGTGTTCTCAAGTAAAATTTTGAATAGTTTTAAAAATGTAAGGCATAACAAACAAACTATATACTGTTAATCAAAATTCTTTTATGAATGTTTATAATTTAGATGTGATCCTCAAAACTGTAGAACCTTAATAGTTACATGTATGTGATGGAGCAATGTGTATGCTGTATAGTTTATGTCAGTTGTACTGCCTATGGTTCTCAAAATAAATTTCTGATTCCCCTCTTTCTTAAAAGAATAAAACTTCTGAAAAATAACTGTGTCTTCTAAAAATAAAGAATAATCCAAAAAGGTGAAAAATTCTTCAAATCTTGAAGTAAACAAAAATCACCTGAAGGAATATCTTGTGAGACACAAATCTGTTCTCTTTGGAAATATTTATTAAATAAAGAAAAGCAATATTTTTGTGCATGCAACATTAGAAAAATGGAGGGGTATTTAAATGCATTACCAGATCCATGTCACATAATTTTTTATTTGAGGTAAAGAGGTAAGTGTCACCCTTACTTGTAATGCAAGATGTCTGACCATTTGATGACAGTAAATAAATGAATAAAATAATAATAACTAATAAATAAAAGGGAGAAGAAGAAACATATATCTGTACAATTTTATATTAATTAAAAAGAAATTATTTCAAATCATAATGCCATACAATAATATTATATTGTGAAAAATGGCTCACATAATTAATTACGATTTTGGGATAAAAGCGTTTGAAATTTCCTTTTTGTTAAATGACATATACCATTGAAATAATATAAATAGTAATGTAACTAATATTAAAAATGCTGCACTTTTTTCAACCATTTTTAATAACCTAAGTTTTCCTGCTTTCAGCAAAAACAAAAATCATCAGTACTTTTTTTTTTTTTCAAAATCTATTTGATCTCATCGTGTTTTCCAGAGAGAATGGCCATATTTGAAAGTTTTTTTGGACAAGTTATGATCTTATATAATTTTTTTTTATTAATTTAAGTTTACTGAAGCTTCTTTCAGCACTAGCAACAGTAACTGGTAATGTTAAAGTAAGCTCAACAACAGTAACTGACAGTGTTAAAAATACCCTTAATGCTGCTTCCAGATTTAGATGCGATTAAACTAAACTATATTCATTAACTATTTTTGAAAGATGTAAACTTGTTAGTTGCTTCAGTATGTATAATTTCTGAAATAGTGTGATTTTTAAAACTAGATTTTTTTAATTGAAATTCTGTATCATTTTTATAGCATTCAGAAATTTAAGTGCTACACTATATGCTGTTGATTTTATATTACTTAAATCTCAATTAGAAATTGAAAATTGGGACATATCTGATTTAATATTTCACAGTTTCATTGCAAGACTAAACCAGCTAACATTTCTTTACTATGAAAAAACAAATGCTGAAAAATTCCTTTCTTCTTAATTAATTCTTGACAATTTGATTCATTAACACCTTATTATTGTTTCTGTTCTAGTTGTGTAGAAACATTTATCTTTAAATCTAAATTTTTACATTTATCAAGAATACTTCCAGAAATATTTTCTCTTACCTGCCGTAAAGAAAGACATAACCCCCACCCCCATTAAACTTGAGGTCTAATTTTTTATTGCAAGGCTTTACTTTGTTTCATGCAGTTGTCAAATTCCCTATAGATAATGTACTTAAAATTTTTTAATTGATATATTTTAGAATGCTGTTATTTTCATCCTGCTGCAATGATTTATCATTTAATACCAAACTTTTTAATAACTAATGTAATTTGGTTGTTTGTAGATACTATACTTTAACAGCATTTGTTCTTAATGCCCATTGCATATTTGTGTTACATATTTTGAAAATATGAACAAGGTTATAAAATATAAGAACAATATATTTAATTTAATGGTGGCCAAGCAACAACACTGGCACATGTTTCTGTAAAAAACTTTTAGCACTGTTGTCTTAAAACAAAACAAAACAAACAAACAAACAAACAAAAAAAATCCCATCCTTTAATACCAGCTGTTTCAATATAAGAAGTTTGCAAACATTTCAGCCACAGTGCTTATTAATGCTCAAAATCTATAACAGCTCTTAATTTAATTAATACTCTTATGTAGATCATAACACTGATGTAAACGGAACATCATTTTTGTCTTGAAAACATTTGGCTCTCTTAAAATTAAGGTTTTTAATGTCCAGTTGTAGTACTCTATTTTATACATCTTGGTGTGCTTCAAATTTGAAAATTAACAATTATAATTTTTTTTTTTAATGGATTTCCAAATTTCTGTAGCTAGTTTTGGGCTTCTCTTAATTATTCACCTGAAACAAGTGCCTCATTTGCCTCATCCTTGTTTTGGTTTTGTGTACTACGCATACATAAATACATACATGTATCTACGTATGTTCTCAAGTTAAAAAACATGGCACATTCAATATAAATGTTTTGTTTAGTTTTTATGTCTCCTTTATTATGTAACAAAATAATGTAATTGGTTGTAATATGACTATTATATCCTGATAATGTAGCTTCTCTATTATTTTTTTTATCTTCCTCTGTCATGTCTTACTGCTTTTAAAATTGTTATATTATTTATAATTATAACCTTTGCTGTGAAATATTGTACATATTGCTTAAAATTTCCTTATTTATTATTACATTATAAGTCTAATGCTGATTAAATTCAATTTTTTTCTTACTCTTTTGCTTGCAGATCTTTCTATTGTTGAAAGACACCGCTCACGCTTTGAAAATCATGTTGATCATGAAAATCGTAAAAACAGTGAACTTTCAAAACCAAAAGATGATAAAGCATTGAATGAAGAAAGGAAAAAATTATGTGATTCAAGCCGCCCTAACTCATTACCATATGGATTAAGTAGTAACAATAAAAAGTCATGGATGCTATCAATGATGTATGGTAAGAGTCAGGATGAGGAGATCAAATCTCCTTCTGCAGAAACTATAAGTAATGGTGTAGAAATTGTAAATAATAATTATATTGTGTATAATAAAAGAGAAGACGAATCTTTAAACTCCAGTTTAAGTAGTGTAAAAAAGGACAATAGTTTCAAAGATATGCAGGAAAAATTTATTTATAGAAATGGTGATTCTTCTGTTCGTTCACCAACATCAGATAACATTCCTCGCATTGGAGATCCAAGTGGTATTATAAGTCGAGCTAAAGAAGGCCTTGCAGCTAGCAAAAGTATTCGACCAGATTCAAAACCTACATCTCCACTGTCACCAAGTTCATCATTCATTCAAGAAATAAAAAAGCCAGAAACTGATTTACAGTGGGAACAACTTATTAAATCTGTTAAGCGTCCACTGATTATCAATGATCTGGATTTCACTGATCTCAGATCTGATGAAGATGTGGACTTCCTGGAAAGTCTTGGCCCAGAGATAAGTTCAGAAATGAATGGTGGGCCACCACCTCCACCTTTGCCTCCAGGATTGGGACCACCTCCACCCCCTCCACCACTGCCTTTGGGAGGTGGTCCAGTGCCTCCTCCTCCACCACCACAAACAGCTCCACCAAATAAATGTGGTTCAAGGCTGAATGGGATTGAAACGCCTTCAGTGCCTCCCACGTGGTTAAAAAGGAATCAACATCATTTACAAGAAGCACAAGTCAAAGACCTGTCAAAAAGTAATCAAAAAACAAAAAAGACTGTGAAATTATTTTGGCGTGAAGTCAAAGAAGATAAATCCTTACTAAAGAAAATTGGACGAAAGAAAACAATATGGGATGAACTGAAACCAGTACCTGTTGACACACAAAAGCTAGAACACTTATTTGAAAATCGAGCAAAAGATATAATGAATAAGGTAAAGGTTTCTCATTGTATAACTTTGTAATTTTACAATTCACCATATTTTATGCATGATTTTTGATCTGATTCACTTTTCCATTCAGTCATTTATTGATAAGTTTTGGAAAGTTGAATAAGTTTAATAAGTTATATTCTATTGCACATCCAACTTTTATTGCAAAAGTGTTTGCTAACATTTTGCTTCCTAAATTAGTTTTGCATTTAGAGGTTTTAATAATTTATTTATGTATATGCACATGTATAGATTTATAAATGATTTTTATATGAATGTATGAAAGATAATTGTTTACTTCCATTCATGTTCTTTTATTTATTTTCACTCATGTTTTATAATTGAAAGGGGAATGAAGTGTGTTTGATATTGGTAAAATAAATATTTTCTGTTTCCCGCAATTTCTTCATAATTTAATTAAAAATAAAGATATATAAATTCATATGGAAATTGATTTTGTAAATAACAGCATTTCTTTAAAGATAAATTTGCTTAGCATTTACTTTAATTTATAATTAATTTATCCAAACATTTATTTTTGTCCTAAACAACTAAAGTAATTAAAGATATCTGGGTTAGTTCATTACCTATTAGTGATTATGCGACTTTAGTCCTATAACCTTACTAGACAGGCAACAAGTTATCAGCAGCAATATATCATGACAAGACTTAAAAAGGTTTTAAATAACCTTTTGTTGAACTGAATTTTTAACAAAACAGCACATGCTACAGATGACCACTGCTTGTGGCAATGCAAACTAAATAAGAACAGTTAAATCAATTTAAATGTTGCTCAGGAGGCTAAGACTGCACATCAAAACATATATATTTATTTTTAAAGCCATCTTAAAAAATATGAAGGAATATTTTGTTATTATGTGCCTTTCAGAGCTACACTGAATTTTGTTATGTTATTTTAAAGTATTTGGATATTTATGTAAGCTTGCCTATAAATATAATTTAATTGTATATGCATGTGTAGTAATGTTCTGCTTCTTTTCTTTGGCTTTGCTTTCTCTGGCTGATTCTCGATTCATCAACTTTGACATATAGGAGGTAAGCCATCTGCTTTATGAAATTGCATATTTTTCTAAGTAATCTTCATTTATGAAACTTTTTGGTGTCTCAGAAAAATCATTATTAAAGAGTTTTAGATTTATATATTTTACTGATTTCTTTCTGCATTCTCATGTGTGTGGAATGTGGATTTTTTTATGTGGTCAAAATTTATTTTTTGGTGCTATTGAGCAGAAACTAAGTTTAAATTAATTTAAGTGCATATAGTTTTGTAAATGTTCAGTCTAAAAAATATTTATTTTTGGGCTTTTGAGCAGAAATTTTGCTAAAAAGATTTCAAGCTTCATATTGTTTAACCTAAAAAATACAAATAATCTTGATATTTTATTTTGCTGAATGTTATATTTGTAGTTACTGCTTTATATATTTTAAGTAAAAGTTTTTAATATGAAAAGATTTAAGTAAGTAGCAATAATATAATCTTACAAATGATATGAATATAGTTACAAAAAAAAAAAAAAAAAAAAAAAAAAAAAAAGAAAGAAAAAGAAAAAGGAACAGGGAAACTGATATTTGAATTTAGAGCCAATAATAACTTATGGTTTAAGTGTTTGCTTTTGTGGCATTTATACATTAATATGAACTTCCTTTATAAATCTTACACTACTACCTTTTTAAGTAATGTTTATTTATTGCAATAATATTTAACTTAGAATGATTATTTTATTAAAATGCATTTATTATGCTGAATAAACAGGTCATAAACTTTGTTTTTGACCTGTTTTTGTCCACTATCACAAAACTTAATAAATGAATATAAATCTGAATTTTATTTATATTTTATATAAAGGAATTTTAAATTAAAATTGTTTTTTATTTTGAATGATGGATTTATGAATTAGAATGTTCTTTGTTATTGCCTTGGAACATGAATATCTTAATTTAATACTAAAATCATTTCAAACGTCTTCTTTAGTAATTCTCGCATGAATTAAAAATTCATTGATATTTATATTGTATTCCTTTGCAAATTACAGAAATCTCAAGACTGTGTTAAGAAAAGCGAAATTATAGTATTGGACACTAAAAGATCAAATGCAATAAACATTGGTATGACAAAACTGCCACCTCCAAGAACAATAAAAACAGCCATTCTTAAGATGGATAGCACCATAATGAACAGAGAAGGCATAGAGGTAATTTTGTGTTTGTTTATTATTTTACTATCTGAGTATCATATTTATGTGCTTGAATAAAGGGATCATGGTTTTAGAACAGATTAAGTAGAAAAAGATTTCTTGAGCAGGGACGCACCTTCTGTGTGTGTCTGTCTATAAAGTTGCACTACACTACCCTTTTCAAGATGTGTTTGTACGTCTTAATCCGAAGGAATACATATAAGAGCATGGCACTGATATTTACAGCAGTTACTAAGACCACCATACCATAACACTATAAAGTATTTCAAAAGTATTCAAAAGTAGAAGAGAACTAATGTGTTTGAAAAGATGAATATCTGCAGAAAAACCATGGTAAGATCTTAACAAATCTTATAATTTTCCAAAATTTCTGTAACCAATCAGTAGGTATTAATAAAAGTTAGGAAAAGGAATTATAAACATACTTTACAAACAGTACAAAAAAATATGGCATAATGCAGGCCAGTATGCTCTAAATATCATTATACCACTGTTAATAGTAGCAATTAGTCATAAACTTAAATAGCTAGCTGTAACGAGTTGAACATTGAAGCGTAATATTGTAATTTATTCTAAGATCTGAGGTTTTGAGTAATTATATAATGTGTAATAGCATATTAAATATGAAAATATTTATCATTAATGTAAAGAATATCTGTGAATATCTCTTTGGTTTGGCTTCTTGTGCAGGCTGACCAGTAGGTACAGTAGTACAACAAAGCAATACCTGTAAAATCACTGAGGAAGTTCTAGTGCTCCATCCACTTTTCTCTCTCCCTAACCCTGCTGCCCTACGTCTGTTATAATGGAATCTATTGAGACTGGAAAATGTTGACCTTCGTTCCATTGCAGTATTTTTAATTTTTGGTCCAAATCGCATTAGCCCAGAAAGGCTATTTCGTATTGGCATTTTGCATTGATTCACTTTTCAAACTATTGTCACCAAATATTACAGCCTGTATTATATTTAAATAAATTAAATAATGAAGAATCTGCATAAATATGTGTATGTTTCTCGCATTGTGACAGTGGTACCTAGAGCCATTAGATTTTGAATAACATAATCCTCCACCAAATATGGGCATCTGAAAGCCCTAATTTGGAATTTGTTTTATTATCTGTTTCATATTTTGTGAGATATTAAAGAATTTTTAATTAACAAACTCAACGATTTCAAAGGGAGGAATGGCAACTCTGTACAGAGGGAAAAAAAATTCCTTTTTTAATCTCCAGCGTGCCAGGACTGTGTATCAGAAATTCTAAAGATATGCTCATTTTAAAATTATTTTGCAATATTGCTGTTGAATTGAATTTTGTGGTAAGTGCAAAACACATGATATTTAATAAATAAAGGTGATATACAAAATGTTCTTTGAGCATAATGTAAAATATAAAAAGCTTCTCTTTTTTTATTTTTTTAATATATTTTGTTTCAAAATAAAAGCAAAAATCATGGGTTGGGTAATGTAAATAAACAGAGATGGCTGTTCCGTTATCATCCCAAGAGAGCACTTAAGAAACTGAGGTGCCCATCACAAAAGGGTTAAGTAGCAAGGAAGCAAATGTTAACTACTTTGTCTGAAGCTTGCTGAGCTTATCTCAAATGATTAGTCTTTAACAGCTCAGAAAAAATTAATTAAGACATAATGGGGGCTTTGGTAACTAATTAGAATAGGAGGTTGTATATTTGCAGAGTAGCTGAGGGTCACAAAAGTTTGGGAAACATTTGTAATAGTAAATAACTGTTTTCAATTAAATTCTTAATTAATAATTAAAAAGGAATACTATTTAATGGATCTGTAATAAATAATTGCACCTGTTTATGATTAGAAGGAAGCATGCTCTAATCTTTCAGATAAGAAGAAAAAGTGCTTTTTGTGACATCACTTCAGAACTATTCAAAATTATGAAATATTTTTATCTATCCTGTGCTTATTATTCATCATAATAATTAATTTATATTTTTAATACCGTTACGTAAAATCTGCCTCTGTAGAGTTTAATAATTACTAAAGACAGTGATGTTTATTTTAGAAAATACTTACTATGCTGCCAACAGAAGATGAGAAGTCAAGAATAGCTGAAGCACAGATGAACACTCCTGATGTTCCATTGGGTACTGCTGAACAATTTCTCTTGACTTTATCATCTATCAGTGAACTAGAAGCTAGGCTTCGATTGTGGGCATTTCGTTTAGATTATGAAACAATGGAAAGGGTCAGTAATCAGATAGTAATAGATCAGATTTAAAATTTCCTTATTTGCTTTTAATCAGAATGTGCATTTGAAAATATGTTTTTAATAGGAAGTTGCTGAACCATTAATGGATCTGAAGCAGGCTATGAAAGAAATAGAAAGCAGTGAAACTTTCAGGGTGATTTTATCTACTTTAAGATCTGTTGGGAACTTCCTAAATGGAGTTGAGGTAACTTTACATTTTTACAGGTTTAAAGTAAGAATTTTTATTGAATCAGCTGTAAAAATTAATGTATTTTAATTTGGTGTTGCTGGGAACTTCTTGGATGAAGTTGAGGTAACTTTGCATTTGTACAGATTTAAAGCGTGAGTTTTTATTAAATCAGATGTAAAGTAAATGCGAGTTTTTATTAAATCAGATGTAAAGTAAATGCAATTTGATTTGGTTTTAAAAATATTGATTTATTTAGGAACATTTGAACAGTTTTAATAGGTATGTTAATGTGATATTAATTAAAGAAATTTGATGAAACCTACTAGGAAAAAACAGACATAATAAATGCTGAAGGTGATGCACAACTTTAATAAATAGCTAACTTTCTAAAACTTTGCTAAATATACATATATATCACACTCTTCTTTTAACATCTTACACTCCTTCACTATATAGGGAATGTTTTTAATGTTGAAGTTCAGGCCAAAAGAAGTTTTAATTTAGTTGTGGGTTAATTACATTTGTGTTTGAAAATATTGCTGTAATTTCTTTTAAATCTAATGTATAACTGTAAATTCAAATCACTAATGCTCAGTTTTCAATGTATTTATTTTAAATAAGTTGTTAAAAAAGGTGGCATTAAAATTATTTATATAAAAGTATATTTATCTGCTTTAATTATAAATCACAATAATAAAATAAATAAGCTGTACATGGCATCAGAATAACTTTTCACATGGTCAGAATTTTCTTGTTCAATAATTATTAAGCTAATTTTATTTTGTAAATGTTACAAATTTATTTTAATTTGAAATTCATGCAAACATTTTATAATTATATAAATATCAAACTTGAGTTCATTAATATTTATATGATAACTCTTTGAAAACTGCATGAATCTTAAGATTATGCCAATTTGGCAAAATATCTTCAGAATATAATTGGAAATAATAGTATTAAAGTACTTATGTATTATTCCGTCAACTGTGAAACTATAGCTAATCAGCACTGATTTATTGCCAATTATGGATAAGTGTGATGTAAGAACATATTTATAACATGTGATATCGCTTGATGCAGCTCTGACTGATTAAGCCACATTTTGTTTTTATGAACAAAGATATAAATTAACTGTTATTACTGAACTTTTTCCTTGCATTTTTTTTGGGGGGAGGGAGGAATTCAAATTTAGGACTTCCCTTTTACAGAACAACAAGCAGGTTATCTTCAAAATTATGGAATCCTACCATCAAAAGTTGGATATGGCTGGCAAAACAGTAATAGATTGAAACAGTTGCCTGTGGGAAGTTTGTAGTCATAGCATTCTAAACACAGCTTCCTGCAAAATAAAAGGGTAAAATCGATGTAGAAATCGGCAAAAGCTTTTTTACAAACTGCAGAAACAAAGTGGGTAGAATATTGATTGTTCTTTAAATAAAGAGGCATGAATTCCTTCAGAATTCTGCAGGAAGGATTGCTGCAACCTTCACGGTCAATGGTATAATACCATATTAAATTTATAGATAATTAAATATATATACATACAGGCATATATTACATATAATATTCATTGCAGTTATACATAAAGATGCTAAATATGTATTTATATTTTTTATATCATATCCATTATATCTGTGAATTTGAATTTCAATCTGAAAAAGATACTTTTTATCAACATTATTTTGTTGAGAAGGGAAAATGAAGTCCATGATGCAATTTTTGCAGTTAATAATTGTCATAAAATCAAAATTACTATTTTCTAAAGCAGCATAATATGAAACTTAAAATTTTATTAATGATTCAAATTTATTGATTTCTAAATAAATGTGAGAGCATATATAATTAATTTTAATCTGTGATTGACACAACCTGATGTAGAAGAGAAAATGCATTATACCTGTGTCTGCCTTCTTATCAATAAAATTTAAACTTTTACAGTGTGCATTTGAAAGTATTTAGTATTTTTTAAATATTTATTATTTTTTAATTTGCTATTTTCTACAGGATCTTGTGTGGAATAACTTAGAGACTAAATATTTTTTGACGCTATATTTTTATTCTTGAAAAATCTATAAATATCACATAAATGTAACTGTACAAATTGATTGTTCCATTAATTTACTTCACTTGAAAGTATTAAAGAAGTTTGTATGTGCATTTCATAACATGAAATTTACATAGACTTATGTAGTCAATATTAAATTGCAGCTGTGTACCAGTTATGTTAAAATTAATTTACCATTTTCATGTCGGGGGCTCGGAATTTATGGTAGTTAAAAGTATCAAAATGAATACAACATATTTGCAGAGCTTTTATCACTCTGCATCAGAAAACAATGGTATATTTAATATAAAGAATTAGGTTAGTTCAAATATGTTATAAGTCTTTATACAATGAAATTTATTTCATTAATGTTGCATGTAAGGTACATCAATTTTTGATGGTTTTGTAAGGTATAATAAGTGAAGAACAGTACTTTATAGAATTGTTCATTTATAGATCAAAGGATTTCACATTGAATACTTATCCAAAGTTCCTGAAGTCAAGGATACAGTGCAAAAACACTCTCTTCTCCACCACCTGTGCCATATTGTAATGGAAAAATTTCCCAAATCTAGTGATTTGTATTCAGAAATTGGTTCTGTTACCAGAGCTTCTAAGGTAATGCCTTTTTCAATTTTTTTTAAACAGTTATTTCTTAAAAATGATCTGGTTTATCAGTAATAAGAATAATTCCTTCTGAGCAATATACCAAATGAAAATGATTATGCTAATAAATAATTTATAAATTTATATGCTAGATCACATTTTACATAAAATAGATTTTACTATGTCTTAAATAGAATGACATTTTTGCTGTGCTTACTTTTACATTTTTAGAACACAGGTTGTAATTTTATAAATTGAAATATATGTTAAAACTGTGAAAATATAAAGCAATAAATATATCAAGATTATTTTGATATACAAAACAGTTGAATTCTTGTTTTTGGTATTGACATTTTTGAACTAGGAAATGTTATAAATGTCAATTTACAATGCTTTTTAACATTGTAGATTTTATCTTTCATGGATAGTTCTTTGGCAAATTAAATGAGATAATTCTTCCATATTACAGGTCGAAGATATTGCAAAAAATTTTAGTTGTAGTAAAATTAATTTTTCTAGTATATTTTATACTGCATTAACTCTTGTATTTGCAGTGAAAATAACAAAAATAAAGAGACTGCTAGAAATAATGTAAGATATTTATTCCAAAAAATTTATACTTGAATAATTTATTTTTAATGCTTAAAATCAGCTATTTATTTAAATAATTTGAATCATGTTTGGACATTGCACTTTTTTTTTTTTTTTTTTTAAGTTGGATTGTTCATAGTTAAGTAAATATGCCCATTTTATATCAAATAAATTAAAATTTTATTTGTTGAATGCATTTTGTAAATTTTGATACTGTATTTAATACATATCAACATAATTATAAATTAAATTTTATATTTAATATAACTTCTTATAAACCAATGCAGGAGATACATGCCCATATGAACTTTAATCTGCAAAATAGTTTTTCTTGGCCTTTTGATAAAAAGAAAGATTCAGGCCGCTATCTGTGGAAACATAGTGAGCCTCTTTTTATTTAAATTAATGCCAAATAAAGGTTGGATTCTGCTAATGATTGATATATCTACACATATAAATTAAAAATACATTTAAAATCCATTTTATATTCAATTTTGGGTAAAACCTTATGCAATGTTTATGACTTTGATGCTATAATTTTGCAATTTTTTGCACTATTTTATATAGCGTGATAAAGACACTGATTACTTTGAGTGATTTTCTAAAATTATTTTAAGTATTAAACTTGAATTTGTGTCTTTGTTTGTGCAGGAACTTACTGATGTATTTACTTCTTTTGTTGCACCAACCCCTTGTTGAAGATGCAATAAAAGATGTAAATTTTTTTTTTCCTTTTCATTTTTAGGTTTAGCTTCTTTTGCACCTGTCCTGTATTTTGCCACTGTGTTTCTCTTTTATTTTATTATTTAATTTTGTGGTTCTTTTGTTTTTGTTTTCCTATGGTTTGTTCCAAATTGAATATGGAATAAATTTTAAATGTATTTTAAATTTATTTAAATTTATTTTGCATTATTACCATCATTTTTTGCTGCTATCACTGCACAGTTGGATTGGGATTTGAACTGCTTTGTATTTATTCATGTTGATTATGTATATGTAAGGTAATTATGAGTAATTTAAAAAAGCCACATACTTGCTCTAAAGCTGCTGAATAATAAATTGAGAATTTATTTATATTTAAGTTTATTTTCCTAGGAAATAATATACAAAACTCTTCTCATAAATAAATTCTTAATATGTATTATAGAAAGAGAGAGAGACAGAGAGAGAATCATCACACATATCAAATACATCATTATGCTACATTTTAATAAATAGTTTTCATTGATTTCAGATTGATTATGGAGAAGTTACAAAGAGCTTAAATAAAATGGAAAGTGAGTGTAAAGCATCATGGGATTACTTAAAAGCAATTGCAAAACATGACTGTAACATAACTATGAAAGTAAGGTAAGCATTATCAAGTTTATTCATGCTATTAATCACCTCTTATGTATATATATATATATATATATGTCCTTAATTATTATGATAATGATGTCCTTAATTAATATGTATATATATATTAATTAAGGACATCATTATAGAAAGACATTAAAAAATATATTAAAAGTATTATCCCATACTAGGAAACATTGTTTAGGGTTTTAATATTGCCTCATGTTAAATGGTAATTAAATGTTAAAGCCAGGAAAAAAAATTCTTAAAGAGTAATTAAAGTTTGAAAAAATATGAAAGGGAGAAATAGATAAAAATTATTAATCATCCTCTACTTAATGCTTCAAATAGAACTTTTCAAGGGGTCTTGGCATTTAAAATATTAACCCTGGATGATTAATGAGTACCGAACACACATTTTGTTTTCCCTTCCATTACATGACTCAAATCGCTGCTAATTAATTATTTAGAAATTGCTAAATATTATTTCTAATAACCCCATAAGGACAAGAACTACCCCAGTGTATGTCAGGCACCTAGTAGTTAAAATTAAATAATAAAAGTAAATTCATAATCAAACCTAAACTGAAATGTAAAATAATACAAAATATATATATATAAAGAGAGATATAAAATTTGACTGATGAATGATGGGCAGTATAAGATTGAAAAACATTAGTTTAAAATAAACTACATCCAAGAATGAAAACATTAATATAATTAAAGTGCAAAAAAGCTAATTTAAAGAAAAAGATTAGAAATTACTAGGCATTAATATATTCTTAATGAAATTAACAAGAAATTAATCATATACACGAGATAATCAATAAAAAATTATATTAAATTTTCAGATAAAATTTTTTACATTCTCTAGTCATATTTTGTAGTTTTTAAGTCTGCCTTGTTGCTTAGTGGAATAGACAGCATCTGTGTTGACATGTGTGGAAATCTAATGCAAAGTCATGCTTAGATGTCCTTTGGAATTGCCTTATGAATTCGAAAAAGGATATCTTTAAATTTTCGATCTGGTTTGGGAAATAAGAGAAAAATTACATGCTTCTATTTTAGAGGTATGTGGTAAATGGAAAATGCCAATCCCTTCCTCCCATCCCCCCCCCAAACAGAAGAATTTCAAGCAAATTTCAGCAGTATTTCAGAGTTATTGTGATATCTTTAACATTTTTAATGCAACCATACGTTTTCTTTGCAACATTAAAATGGAACATTCAGCATTTACAGGGATATGTAAATTATATTTCCAGAACTCAGGAAAAAGAGTCATCATCACTTTTCCAGATTTTGCCATTTTGGAAGTAGAAAGTAATGTAGATTTTCAAATAGTTATAGCCTTTTCCCTCTTAATTCAGCATGATGCAATCATTTTTCATCATCACTAAATCTACATTATTATAATCATGTAGATCCAGTGATGATGAAAAATCTCTTTGCTTAAAAAATAATCTTAAATCTCATTTATAATAAAATTACATAATAAATATGTAAAGGTTTTGGTTTTTGTTTCATACAAGATTTAAATAGCATCTTCAAACTGTATTTTTCAGCTACCAGTTTATGAGATATTAGGTGCTGAAATAATTTACTTTATGCATTTTGAGGAGGGGGAACAAATCAGCTTTTTTTAATTAAAATTTGCTTTTCGTAGAAATAAGTATTGATTTATCACATGTGTCAGATTGTGCTTAAAGGGTGCTTTTAAACTCATTTTGAATTTTGCAGAACCTCTGAATTTCTGACAGATTGTGCAGAAAGAATAATTGTTCTGAAAGTAATTCACAGGAGAATGATCAATAGGTAATATTTTTTGCATATTCTTCATCTGCATTGAAAATTGTATCATTATAACATATAAGTTTATATAGAGGAGCAACACACATCAGGGTAAAATGTTAAAATTAGGGGGGAGGGAAACTAATCTAGATATTTTTTATAGTCTATGTATTACTCAATCATATCTGAAGTTGATTAACAGAGGATAACTCTTCTTTAGAAAATTTTTTTCCTTCAATCCCAACCCTCTTAATTTCACAAAAATTGATCATATTATATTTTGTAGAAGCTGTTAATTATTAACTTTCATATAATTATAAATTCAATTTTCATTATAATGAAACAAAAGTTTTGAATTTATTACTCTCTTCTATTCTAAGCTGGATAGACTGAATTCAATTTTTTCTGCAACTGCTTAGAAATTCTAATTTCATAATGCTTCCTTTTTATATTTTTTCACTTCATCGTGCATTTTCATTAAAAAATATTTATACCTTAATAACCATGAAATCATGGCAATAGCTGTCATAAGGATTTTAGATATATTTCTTACCTGGAAGATTTTTCTTCACCCAAATTTTATCTTGAAATAGATTCGGGAGAAGATCATGTTATTGTTCTGGCATAATATTTAATATCTTGATTAATTATCATTATTATTTTAATATCATGATTGTTCTGGCATAATATTTAATATCATGATTAATTATCATTATTATTTTAATATCATGATTGTTCTGGCATAATATTTAATATCATGATTAATATGTCATTGAACTATATTCATGATCACAAAGTAGCATACATAATTTTTTACATATAGCATGCTTTTCGTGTGGGGATTGTTATACTGAGGAAAGCTAATTTTATTTAAACCTTTAATTTCCATTTGTAAGTCTTCACCTTAAACTGCAATAATAATTAGTGTAAATTTATATATTTATGCAAGTTAATATAAATTTCCTTTTTTAATACTGCTACCAATTGTAGAAATAATTATGACAATTTGTAGTCTTCATCTATTAGTTAAAGTCTGCATGTTCATAAGTGTATACTTCCACAAAAAAATTAAGTCATCTCTATAATTTCCTTCTATTTTTTTGTTAATTTCTTATTTATCTTGTCTTTATTTGTAAATATTTAATTTCATTGTAAGGTATTTCACAAACCCTTGCCATATAGTTGTGAATTTTTCTTATGATGTCAGAACCTTAAAAGAAGTGTTTTTAGATATTAGGCATTAGCTAAAATAATAATAATAATGAGAATATATTACATATTGTATAAAAGCATGGACAATATAAATAAACCAAGATTATAGAGGTCAATATTTCTTATATTACCAGAAGACAAAATTGACTATATCCATTGGTAGATAATATTATAGTGAATCTGATTAAATGTAATTTCCAAGGAAATCATGAAATTAATCTTTCTGATTAAAAATTAATTATAATTTCTCTTAGGTACATCATTATCTTTCCATAATTCATAGAAAACAACTAAAATTGTTACTGTAATGTATTATTTAAGTTTGCTGTAATAACTGAATATAAGAGACAAATTTCATTACATACTTTTGTTGATTAACTTTTGATTAATATTGGCAGATTAAAATTAGTGTTTTAATGTATTATTTAAGTTTGCTGTAATAACTGAATATAAGAGACAAATTTCATTACATACTTTTGTTGATTAACTTTTGATTAATATTGACAGACTACAAATTAGTGTTTAGATGCTGCAATATGAATGCTTAATTAGTTGCTTAATTAATTAGAGTACCTAATTTAAGAATGAATACTTAATTAGCTGCATAGTTTTTAAAGATTAAACATATGTGAGGTTTTTCCTCCCTTCCCCATTTAAAAAACACAAGACCTGGTATCTGCTTGCAGACTTCTAATTATATTACATTATACTATATAATGCATAAAAATACTGTACAAATTTCTTTGATAATATATTGCTTCATTAAAGGTCATGATAATAATTTCTACTTTGCTTTAAAAGAAAGTGTTTATATGTTGTTTTTAGGAAATAGTTATGTTTTCACCTTCAGAAATTCTTTAAAAATAGGACTTTTGAAGCTCCTACAGTATTTTGTATCACCTTTTATATTTTAAAAGTTATTTTTGTATTTAGGTATCACAAGTTTTTAGTATATTTGGGTTGTACCAGTCAGTCAATTGAGGAATTGCCAATTCAGAAATGTTGTAGAATTCTCAGTGAATTTGCTCTTGAGTACAGAACTACACGAGAACGTGTTTTACAACAAATAGAAAAGAAAGCTAATCACAGAGAGCGAAATAAAACTAGAGGGAAAATGATTACAGATGTAAGTAATGTTTTTATTGCACTTTCTTTTATTTTTATTTTTATTGAATGTTGTGGAGGAATATTGTGATCCCTTCCCCCAAAAAAGGAAACTGAATAAGCGGCCTACTTTAATTTAGGATGTCGCTTAATATCAGTAGGTTATAATTTTCTTCCTTAATTAATTTGTTTAATATTTAAATTGGATATTTTAGATAGATTAAGCAGTAATTTATTTCCTATCATTACTTCAAATTCATAATAGTACTAGTGTCTTTTTTCTGAAATGTTTAAATTTTTAATATTGCATTATAAAAGTTTAACTATTATTAACTCTGAATTTAATGCAAAATATGAAAGTAAATTTATGGCTAGTTTAAAAGCTTTTGATAAAAGATATAGCATTTTTAATAGATATAATATAATAGTTTTTTAATAGATTTGTCAACCCTAATAGGAATTCATTCTTTCTTTAAGCCACTTTGCACTGAAATGCAAATTATCTCTGTTTGCCCCCCCCCCAGTGATATAATTTTTCTTTTCCTGTTTTGTATAGAAATATATGTCTGTAGAATCTTTCAAGTAATATCCTGTGTTTCTATAAGATGGATAAAATATTTTTCTAAACAGATATGATATTATAGAATTTTTGGCATTAAAATTTCCATAATAAATTGTATACTAGAAAAGTATAAATAGTTAATATCACAATGGCATCACCTATTGCTTCTGCTCAAACCTAGTAATACCAGTTACAAAAGATCCTGTGCATATACATAAATTAATGTCAACAGTGTATGTATATATCTGTGTATAAACATATGCTGACTTTACTTTGTATTGATTATAATTTTAAATGAAAAATTTTAAAGAAATGCTTAGTGCTTTTTCTTATAAAAATTCTGTTAACTGCATTTAAGCATGTAAGATGGTCACTATTAGTGAAATAAGTGTATAATTTCAGAAATTTTATCTTTTAAAAAATTTGGTGAAAAACAATCTTTATTATAGCTTTGATGCTATAGAAATTTACCACAGAAAATTGTATGATTATTAAAGTACACCACATTACTGATAAGTACTCTGAACCCTTTCAGAACAACTAACAAATATAAAAAATTGAAAAAAATTAATATAGAATTATATAAGTTTTATACATGCATTTAAAATCTGTGTATTCAAATTTATTGCAATAAATGCATATCAATATATATCTGATTTAGATGGAAAGGTTTAGGACCAAAGAACAGCAGGCAGACCATGAACTTAGACAACTTTTAGGCAACAGTAATGGCCATACTGGAGAAGAGCACAAAACACAAAAATGGGGCACAGTTCCAGGAATTAGAGGAAGGGTTCGTCCTCAACTTGGTAAGTAATATGTAGAACAGAAACACAAAACCTCTTAGAAATATATGGACCATGAATATGCATCATTATTCACAAATATATCTAGATAAATGTCTATCTCACAAGTTTATCTAGAGTTTCAGCTATTTATGTTGCATTGATATACTAAGAATATTTTAAATTGAAAATTACTTCAATCTTTCCCATCTGAGTGTTAAAAATATAAGGTTAAAAATTAACAAAAGAAATACGTTCTTTAGGTTAGTTTTTCAATAAACAAAGAACTAGATTAGAATGACACCTTTTGAAAGCTTTTCACTGACAATACTTACTTTTGAAACATGAACACTGTTATAAATGATAAGAATAATATATTTTATTTAAAAGTGAGCAGTAAACAATAATGTCAGCTATGGTCTGTTTAAGGGGAGTGTTTGTTTAATTCTAGTATCTATACAGAAATTCTTATAGATGAAAATAAAATAAAATTAGTTCATATTTATCTGCCAAATTATCACATTGGCGCTTATGTCTTTTCTGTGGAAAATTATTTGGCATAATCAATGTAGAAAAATGCAAAGTAGAAGAAATGAGGCTGAACTTCTTAAATCATCTAATAATTTTTTGTTGTGTTATTGTTACTTTAATGTTATAGCTGGTATCTGCCATCATGAGTTTTTATATAAAACTAATATTCCTGGAATTCTTCATATGAATACTTAGTTAAATTATTATTACTTCATATAATTATTCAACAGCCCTTATGCCTCTGGTGAATTCTTCATTCACATTATTAGAACAGACAGTTTCGAATGATTTCAGTTTTTAAACTATAATTTTATTTTATATAATGCATATTTTGGAAAGAAATTTTTAAAATATCATTGAGCTTTATAATTTTTTTAACGATTCTTGTAATTTTTTTAAGGATCTGGTGGTAGTTTAGGAAGGCATAGTGTGCCAACAAAAGATGACAATCTGACTGATGCAGATGATGAGATATTGGAAACTTTAGTTAAAACAGCGACCACACAGCCTGCAAGAAATGAACCTAGGATAAGGAAAAAAGCTAGATATGGGGATAGAAAATCATGTGAGTAAAACTTATTATCTTATAAAAAGTTATGACGTTAGTTATAAACATTTGTTTATGAAGCAGAACTGTTTTTCCAGTCTAATGGAAATATAGTAGAAATATTTAATGCAAGCTTTATGCACAAACAATCCACTGAAATAAATACATATTTACATTTTAAATAAGACTTAATAAGTCCTTTCTTTATTAAGTAAAAAAGGTCCCCATGTATGTTAATATTAAAGGAAGTTCCCCACCACACGCATACTGTTTGCCTTTCACATTCCGAACAGCTCATTTTAAATATAAGATTTTACATTTTATGTCTTAAATCTCACTGAGATTAAGTAATAGGTTTCTCATAATTGCAGAGTTTAAAATTGCCTCAGGTGTTAAACTAAAATATGCATACCAAGATTAAATTGCAATTTATTTATTTTTTTTTTTTATTCATAGGCTTTTATATATTTTTAGTTTAAAAAATTGTTTTAACTTTTTGAAACTTTAATGATAAACTAAAGAGTTTATGCTTTAAATGCTTTAAAGAAATGATAATAATGAAATGAATATGAAATTCATAAGAAAAACCTGCAGTGTGAAATTGTATTGATTTATAGCTTATTTATTTTTGTTAGATGGAAGTTACCTTGTTCAGAGTGTAATTTTAAAACATTTTATTGAATAATAATTACTAACCTTTATGTTTTATTCTTATTTACTCTTCTTATTATTTTATATATTTATTTTCTAGATTATCTTGGGGCTTTTTTTTTGTAGTCTAAATTTCAAAAATAATTCTCTCTTTCTTTAGTGCGTCGAACCCTGAAAGGAGGTTTAGAATTATCCGAGGAAGAAAGGCACATGCTGAGTTCACTTACAACGTGATTTATGAAACATGCTTCCATCTCTCCAGCTGTGATCTATCTTTTATTAAGTCAAGTTTGTCTTCATTTCATGCATTTATCACCCACATTCTACGTTTGATTTATTAAAATAATGTGTGATAGATTCACTGGATGCAGACACTGTGAAAGATTTTTGCTGTTCTGCTGTGCAGCAAAATTATACATAAACTTGTATAATTTTTACTCATTTTTATATGAGTTTTGTAACCAATCATGTCCAGTATTTTTTTAATATCAAGACTTTTATGCATACTAATGCTTTTACTCAAACCTTTTATATATCAGTCAAAAGAAAAATGGTTTTAAACTTACTGTGTTCCTTTTAGAAGATCCTTCTTTAAAGCTAGCAGATTAACTTCATGCAATTAATTATTTCCTTCCATTTACACATTGATACGAGAAAAGACTGAGGTCTGAACCGTATCAGGTTTTCTAGTGTTTTTACAAAATTTTTACATTTTATAACTAAAATTTAGATAGGAATAAGCATTTGCTATTCACAAATGCACTTTGAGTAGTTTTTGGATTTTATGTAATAAGAGTGTTTCAAAATGTTTTCTATAGATTTATTGAAGATAGAAATATAAAATACTATTTATAGTTTTATTAGTACAATATTAGTAGCTGTTTACAGTGATAACATTTAAATGGGGATTCTATACTGTTAAACTTGTTAATAAAATTATTAAGATATCATTGAAACAAGTAAGAAAAAGAAGAATTCTGTCCTCAAGCTCCAGAATACAATAAGCTACTTTTCATAAGGAGCTTATATGTGAGTAGTGATTGCAATTGCAGGTGGCTCAGTGTTGCGATATTTTCTTCACATTGAGATATCTGATGCTGCTATTCAGCTTTGATTCATTCAGCCTCTGATCAATAAGCACAATAGCTGCGTCTTGGAAACAAATGCAATCAGAGTGCAATTTTAATCACATTGCTACATTTTTTCTGTGGCATTAACTGCATGGCCCTACTTCCAAAATATGTTGGTCAACCACCAGGGTTGTTGTGAGAATGCTTGATTTGCTGTTACAAATAGGAAAACTGTACCACATGTATTTCTGGGAAGTAAAGACGGTTGAAAGCAGTAATGATTGCTTTACTTCATTCTTTGCCGCAGTTAGATATTTGTGTGGCCTTCTCTAAGATCTCCTGGTCTACCCTTAAGATTGCTTTGAGATCTAAAATAAACTGGAAAGTAACACTACATATGTATCTGGGAAGTAAAGCAAGCCTGAGTTAAGTGTTAATCACATTGTTTTATATTTTGCTGTGGTCAGATAACTGTGTGCCCTGTTCCAAGATCTCCTTGGACTGCCATTAGGGATGCTATTTGATTTTTTGTTTCACAGTTAATAATTAGGAAGCAGGACCTTTGACAACCTTGTAATATAACAGGTGAAGATTAATTAAGAAAGCTGATAAAATGAGGTTTAATAGTCTCAGAAAATATTTTGTCAATGTTATAAATCAGTGATAGGAGATTACATGACTAATCTCTGCATCCAAGATAATTTCATAAACCCAAAACTAATACATAAACTTTATGAAATATTTATAGATGTTTAAATTGATCTTCTCTCTAAATTGATAAGAATATCCAAGCTATTGTATATTTCATTACTTTCTAACACTTCCATGAAAAATTACTAGTATACGTCAGAATAGAACAAAAATACTGAAAACTAAGTTGCATTGCTTAATGTAGTGAATATTGCATATAGAGATCATAACAAGTAGGAAGAGATACTCTGTATTTGAGCTTTATGACTGCAATTATTTGTAGAAGTTTTTTTTTTTTTTTTTTTTTTTTTTTAATACTTTACTACTTCTTCCACTTTGCTAAACTTTTACTTGGATTTGATACCTATGCAGCAACAGCCTGCAAATGGATTTGTAGTGTTTTAGTGAAGTTCATTTGTTTCACTTGTTAAATGTCACTGTGTGTTAGATGTCATCAAATGCTGTTTTTTAGAATTTTTCTAAAAATTTGGATGTATTGTAGTTGTTTGTACATGATGGTCTCAGCACATAGCTCCAGTTACTAAGAAATAGTTATATATGTTTGCATTATCTGTTAAGTTTTAGAAGTTACTGAAAGCATAAAAAATTTCCAAATTATATTTATAGTTTTCTAGCTCAATAAAATTTATGCTATGAACTTTGCTGCTGTCTATTGCTCATAATATTGTTATTTACTGGTTATGATTCCAAAATTAAGATATAGAAATTGAAGCTATTTTAAAATAACTTAAAATGTAATAAAAAAATTAGCTTACTGTTTAGACTATCTTCTATAGCATAGAAACATATTAATTTTTTTCTTCTTTGTTATGAATTTCTTCTAAGTACTTGTTTCGATTATAAATTAATATTGAATAGTCAGTTTCTCTTTTCTTTTATTTTGAAAATACAAACTTTTAAATATTAAAAATTTCTCTGCAAATGTAATTTAGTTTATTTCATGAAGGTTTTCCTCAGTTATAGCTTTCAAATGAACTTTTAGGAAAGGGCAGCCAATTAAATAAAGTTTCAAAGTGAATTTATTTAGAGAAAGATAGGTAAATCTAGCATTTATTTGATGTGAAGAAAACTCACTGTTTTCTGTAACAATATAAATGTAAATATGTGCTTCCCATAGCTCCCAACTCTCCAGATTTTGCTGTTTTATCACATTTTCCAGTCTCCTGGTAGATTACCAAATCTCCTGGTTTTTAATGTGTAATATTTATGAAGGAAAACTACAAACAGAAACATTTTCCACCTATAAATGAAATTTATTGGATTAATGAAATTTAAATTGTATTAATTCCATTCCCCTTAATTCTGATGATTTTCAGCATAATTTTTCATATTAAATATTATTTTATCTGAATTGCCTTAATCAGTCAGTTAATATCTGCATTAATTTTGTTTTACGTCAATAAATAGTACAATACCAAATTTATCCACTTAGCAGTATGTATATGAATTACTAATTTAATTTTCATTGTATTTAAACATAGTTTGATAAATAAAAGGTTTCTTCACTACAGGATTTTCTGTATAAAATTGTAAGAAAATTATGAAATGAAATTAGCTGAAAAGCATTAAATTTAGAATATATAGTTAAATATTAATATATTTTATATCAAAATCACATTGTAAATAGTTCAATAATCTGAATCATGCACTATAAAGTGAATTTAAGTCAAATTTGAATTCTTTTGAAATGGCATTGTCACAGAGTGCAAGAACCTCCTGGTTTTTCACATTTCAAGATTGCTTATCCTATCTTATTGATGGCCCTATCTGATGAAAAAGGTACTATAAACAGTCTCTTCATTTTTATAATTGACTGTTGAGAGAGGGGAAGAGATGAGGAAAACAGTTGTTTGAGTTGTACATAGAGGCATTTAATGTCATTTGATATAAGAGTAATAAAGTGGGGGGATTCATTACATAACAATCAGTAGAGTGGAAGAGAATTAGGGAAATAATGAAGAATGTTTTGTTTCACCATCCAGTCTTTTCTATAAATGTCCAGTTAAAATAAAAGAGGAACAACAGATTATGTATTAGATATAGGAAAACCAACAGCAAAATTTATCACAATTAATCTAAAAACAGTTGAGTGCAGTAATCTATCTGACTTGTTAAGAGAGAGATGAAATTCCAGATACCTTTAGAATTGAATTTTAGAAATAAAAATAAATGCTTATTTGCAGCATGTTTTTGCAATCACAGTATGAAAAAACTGTAGCAATCAGTTGTGCATTTTATCAAATGTTTAATTATGTTTTGATATTGAGCTGTTTGCATTGGAATATAAACCATCTGTGAACTGGTAGTTTGCTATTTTACGGAAAAAGATTTTTTTCAGTAAGCAGAAGCAAAAAAAACCTATTTCAGATGTTAAAAGTCACGCTGTAGAGTCATTAGTTTATTTTGAAACAGGAAATGTGAAAAATGAGCAATGCCCTCGCTGGGACTCGAACCACTCGAAAACGCATCGAGCGTGCTGACGACTACACCACGAATACATGCTAAGAAGGCGGGAGAAATACCTTATAACACTGCATCTCTTTTTAAACATTTCTTTTAAAGGGCGACTGGGGATTAGGGGACTCAATCCCCAAATCCTGGGGTGGAGAATCATCATCCACCACCCTTTTAGTTCGGACGCCACTGTCGAGACATTAGGTATTTTTTGAAAGCAGGAAAAATGAAAAATGAGCAATGCCCTCTCCGGGAATCGAACCATGGGCCTCTCGAATACGCGCCGAGCGTGCAGACTACTACACTACAAAGGCACTCTAAGAAGGAGGGAGAAATATCTTATAACACTGCATCTCTTGTTTCAACATTTCTATGAGTTTAGCAGAAATCATGAACTAGGTTAAAAAGTCAGAATTTTAAACTAATTGGAAAATATTAAATTAGAATTTTTTTTTAAAGAAGAGTCAGTCTAAGCCAGTACCTGGTCCGCGTGGGAGCATCGAGTCCTTTTCAAAAGCTCAGTTAATCAATCGTGAGCTCCCACGCCGACTGATGACAGAAAAATGCGAATACTTCAAGCCGGCATTTCCATTTAAGGCTCAGTCAGACAAAAGCTTATAATATGATCAAAAGATTTTGCCATATAATTAATTTACTATCATATTCCCGTTTAAAGGAAATTTGGATTTCAGTGAATCTGAGGGATAAACTCATTGAAACTAGTCATTCGATACAGTTTGATTCCTTATAGTTAAAAAGACTGGCTGCATTAGGTTTCTTTGTGTTTCATCTATGCAATGTGAACAGGAGCCAGTGTTCTTCTGACAATCCTTGAAGGAGGCGTCTCTTTCGACGCAAATTATTCTGAAATGCTTTGGTTTAAAAAATATACCTACCCATTAGCATCAACTTTATTAACAAAAAAGCCAACAAATCGCAACAAAAGTTATCTCTTGAACACATGAATAAATTAAGTAGCAGGGTAAAATCGATAACTATTTAATATACAATATACCAATGGACTAATGAAGGAGCAATGGTTGTTT